ATATATATATATATATATATATAAATAAATGTATTATTCCAGTTCAGCCAATTAGTCTGAAGTGTTATGTTTAGGTTAATTTCTTTTGAATATTTATTTAAATACCGGGTTGTGAAGCAACAAGACAGAAATCATACCAAAGGTGTGAAGGCAATTGTTGCTTCTCATCATAAAATTACATTTTAAGTATAATGAGATATCTGAATAGATTCGTCCTGATTTGGAGGAAAGAGATGTGCTCACGACAACGTATGAGTGATTGATTTTCTGCGTTTCTAATTTTATGTAAAAAACTAAATTATTATATATTTCCTGCTGTGGGTTTAATCCCAAACTGTTTTTTCTCAACAAATAAAAGACCATTAAAGTTAAAGTTGTCTTGAAGGTCTCCTGATTTCTTCTTCCCTCTCCTTTAACCTGATGTGTCATCTTTTAACCAGCAAATTTCAGATGCAAGAGACTTTATCGCTCTTTCTGGCCTTTCAGACAAAGCTGACGATGACTTGGAGATGACCATAGTGTGCCATCGACCGGAGGGCCTCGACCAGCTAGAAGCTCAAACCAACTTCAGCAAACGAGAGCTCCAAGTGCTCTACAGGGGCTTCAAGAATGTAAGAAATTGATAAAAAAAGAAGCCGTCCTTGTGTTTTAAATCACTTGATTTGCCGTCTGTTAAACTATAGGCACAAAACTGTTGAAATAAATGAAAAACATTTTAATTTTGCAGGAATTTTTGCAATTTTTGCAGTTTTTTCCTCACTTGCTCTCGAACAAGAAGGGTGCTTGTCTTCCCTCTCCCATCTCCCTCCTGCTTCTTTGCTCTGTCTTGTGTATCAGACCTTCTATTTTACAAATCTTCCAAATCGTAAATTACTGTCATGGATCTGGTCAGCTGGACTTTCAATGCAATTGATACAATTTTTTCAACCAAGCGACAGTGTCCTGGAGAACCCTCATGCCCCGCTGAGACGCACGCGGCAGGGTACGTCATGGATCAGTGGGGAGAATGGAAATTCATGTGCCGTTCAGTTTTGTCTCAGAAGGATGCCGAAGACGATTACATCATTGGAGTTATGATAGCAGGGTTTCTGCTTTTTGGAACCGGTGGATACTGATGTCATCGGCTATTTAAGAAGACGGAGGCAGCAGTTTTGGCCATGGCAAAGCTGCCGATCTTATGCAAAGGTTTGGTTCATGCTTCGAGTACTAAACCCAGCTGATTTATGAGCTGCACCGTAAGATGGAAGCGATTTATGAGAATTGTAGACCACTTGTAGCTTCTGCGAGCCGGCGGCACGTTGGGGACGACCTTGGAGGGAGCTAATAAGCACGGACCAGTGAAATGCCCACAAATCTGGCCATTTTGGATCGAAAGTACCAGCAGAACTCAAGGCTGATGAGAAATAACAGTCTGCCTGAAAAAAATTAACAACTGTGGCTTATCTGAATCTGACTCCCCCATACGGCCTTGAAGCAGGCCAACTTATCCAATTTCTCCTGGGATATGTGTAGACTAAGAAGGCCATCCCCCATGCAACCCCACCACAAGAACTTCTGTGAACGCTTATCAGAACTGTACTGGCTAACACCAACATCTTAAAAGGACTATGGTGCTATCTAGAAGTGCTTCATGGACAAATCTAACCGTCTTGTCATCAAATTCACATGTAATGTGTCTATAAATGTGCTTGCTGGTTAAGTTTTTTTAAATGTTTTTAATTGTGTCCTGACAAGGACAAGGTGTGAAGAGATTTTTTTTGTAATACCACTATCCTCTCCTCATGGCCTTTTCCCTTTTCTATCTAAAGAATAAGGTGCCGTGCTCTTAGGAGCAGCAGCAACGTGCACTCCGCCCATCTGTCGGACGACTGTACGAACATAATCTCACTGTACTTTGGTGCAGTGATAATAAAGCTTATTCTGATTTTGATTTCTATTTGAAATGTCTAATCAAATTTGAATGAAGTCATAGAGTTGTTTTCATACTTATATTTGCATTCAGCTCACCTGGCTCCTCAGGTGAGTGATGTTTAAAGATTCTCTTCACCCGTCTCTTTTTCTATCTCTTTCTCTTCAAAGGAGTGTCCGAGCGGAGTCGTAAATGAGGACACGTTTAAACAAATATACTCACAGTTCTTCCCACATGGAGGTGACGTGTGTGTGTGTCTGTGTTAAGTTAGTGTGTCAGCTTCACTGCGTATATCATCCAGCCTTTTTCTTTGTCGCTCCAGATGCCAGCACCTACGCACACTACCTGTTCAATGCATTTGACACGGGAAGCACAGGATCAATAAAATTTGAGGTTTGGTTTGTTCCTAGTAATTACCACATATCCAGTCATTGTCCTCTAAATACTCCTTTTTAAAGATGGCATTCTGTCTTTACTTTTGTTTGTGTAGGACTTTGTTACAGCTTTGTCCATCCTGCTCAGAGGTTCCATCACAGAGAAGCTCCAGTGGACCTTTAACCTCTACGATATCAACAGAGATGGTTACATTAACAAAGAGGTTTGTCTTGTTTTCTCAGTTGTGGGTTTTTTCTCAATAATTCAGCCATAAATATGTCTCTGTATGGGTGTGTTGTGCTTCACAGGAGATGACAGACATCGTCAGAGCAATATACGACATGATGGGGAAGTACACGTACCCAGCGTTGAAAACTGATGCACCCAAACAGCATGTGGATGCCTTCTTTCAGGTTCCAGCATCATCATTCCTTTATTTATATCTAATACTGCCACTCACTACTAATGACTAAAACATGGCATTAATAATACGACCATCAGCTGAGTAATTATATCCACAGAATAAAAAAAAAAAGTCAATACCTGTATGTAAGCAGAAGGACAGGAAGACAACTTTTCTAGAGGTAACTGGAGGGAAATGAACAAAAACGTTCTGCATGACTTATTTTAAAACATAATAATTGACATTACCCATGTTGGTGTTGCTGTGCTAATTAATTTGCAATATAAAAGCATCAAATATTTAAACTTTATAGACTACTCCACAATAGTTATTACTGTACTTGCTGCCATACATGTCGTACCACCATACAAGTTGCATCAGTCCAAATATGTCTAATAAAGTGTGGGGGGGGGGGGGGGACATAAATATGTCGCTTCGCCGTATAGGTCATATCTATGATGCATCACCACTGACAACCCAGAAACGTGGGCTGGTGTGGTGCCAAAAATTGATTGGCTGCCAAATGGCAGATACAGGAGTGTGCACGGGAGGACTTTAACAATTATTTAACAAGATTAGCATTTAAAAACAATTGTTTGTTTGCTCGACATTATAGTAAAGGTGTTCTCAGCTGAACTTTTCCTTAATTACTCCACTTTAATAAGGAGCTCCAGGAGTTCTGGAGCAAGACGAAGGTGGTTGTCTGGGAAGCCAAGTGTCTCATTAATAGCCACTTTTCCCTATTAATGAGACACTTGGCTTGCCATATTACTCGAGCGACCTCTAGTGGATGAAAATGGTAGTATTCGATATTTTCCGTGTCAGAATGAATTAAATTGTCAGATCTCAGCCAAAAATTGTCATAAAAATGTGGAGGGGTGGGGGGGTGGTGGGGGGGACTATAAATAAGTCGTCTTGCTGTTTAAGTCTCAGAGCATGCTAATTTATGCAAAAGGTGCGACTTATACAGCAAAAAGTACTGGTTCTAACGAAGTAAAATGTAATAAACAGATTGTCCCTATGCTGTTTTATTTGCTTCACATTTCAAAACTCACATTTTTAAATGATTTCACACAGCCCCAGGTGTGTGGTTTTGAGAACATCTAGAGAAATTAACTTCCCTTTAGAAATGACTGTCAGTGGTATATTTAGCTTTAACCGTTGCAAAGAGACAAAAAAACAGTAATTAGATATGGATAAAAATAAAATAATCATTGGCAAAATTTTATTAAATGAAAACTGTCAATGTTCAATTATTCAATTAGACCATTTTACAGTTCCTATGAGCATGCATAAAATTGGGCACCCCATGCTCAAATACATTTATATCTGTTTTCAGTATTCAAGGTCGCTACGATAAACTCGTGTTGTGGTCTTTTACACCTGCTGTTCTGTTGACTTCTAGATAAAAACACAACTATAATTTGCTTCACTGGTATTTTATGCTGTAATAGTGAAATGTCCTCAACATGAAATGTTGCCAGATGTTGGAATGACTGCAGAACACAGCTGAAACAGATATGAACTCTGTTTAGACTAATTTCAAAGAAGTAGACATGAATTTTTCTAAACCACAATGCATTGCAAAAGACTGACTTTGTGCATGCGCATCTGTAGAAAGGTCAATAGTCAGGGTCATGAGTCTCTGCCACTTTTATTTCTCAAGTCAAAAGCTGAAACGTTAAAGGATGGCGATACAAGTCGATAATAATAAATGTTTCTGCATTCTGGGATTTCAAACACGGTAGCAACATTTTCACTAATTGTGGTTGGACTGTGCTCTGTGTAACTAATTTACTTAGGCACAGTCTGGTAGAAAATAAAATTTAAAAGCCGATTACTGCACCTGTCATAATCATTCACGTGCAAAGCAGCCATGTTGGATTTTGAGGTTGGGTCTGCTCAGGAATCTCAAACTATTTGAGTCTAAATTCTAACTTTTGTCCAGTTGATTGATTTATTTATTTTTTACTTGAATTCAGGATCCAAGTAGAAGTAGAATGAACCACTGAAGCAATGGTTCATCTCAATAAACAATCACTTTTTGTAACTTCCTGCAGCAGCTAGCTGTGCTGCAACACTTACGCATGCAACTGGAAACAGATTCAATTTCTTCTTTTTATTTCTGCCCTGCATTATCACAATGCTACAGATAATAATGGCTTTATTAACAGTTCTGCTTGTGAAACAATGTTCTGCTCGCATTCTTCACCACAAGATGGCGCTCTGCTGCTCACTACTTCCGGCTCTAATGTTCAGATTAGACTAATGAATTTAAGAACGCATATATTTGTGCAAGACATGTTAATGATACAACATTTGTGCATCCGTTTGCAGAAAATGGACAAAAACAGAGACGGTGTGGTCACTCTTGATGAATTCATCTTTTCTTGTCAGGAGGTACAGTTCATTTTATTTATTTAAATCAAAAATATTAATCTACCTTTTTCTAAATATTGTAATTGTGATGCCTAACAGAATGATTATCTTATTAGTACAAAGCAGTGTTGTGTATATGCACTACATCACAATTTTATTTACCCTAATAAAGGCCTCCCGCCTTTGTAGGGCTCATTATAGCAGCTATTAATTATGATCTTTGATATCTTCTGCATCAAGGTGTTTGTGTTCAGAGATCATTAAGATTTTATTACCTTCTACTGCTCCCTGGTGGCTGGTAAAAGGAATTACAGGGTGATTGTTGGAAGTCTTTCCTCCTCACAGTCAGCTTCTTAATGTTTTTGTGCACAGGATGAAAACATCATGAGGTCTCTGCAGCTCTTTGAAAATGTCATCTAACTAAACAACAAACACGAAGGAGATGGAGCAACAGGTGGTAGCACAGAGCGAGAGAAGAGGATGGAGGGAAGACGGGCAACAGTTTGCACACAAAAAAGGACAACTTGTGGAAAGAAAAAGGGAAACAAGGAGCTTTAATTGTCATGGGTGTTGTGAATTTCCTCAGAAGTGCATGATGGGCATCTTACTGCAACAACTCTGGGGCAACAAACCCTCACTGGTTTCAGAAAATGTCCTTCTGTGTGCGTCCGACTCATCTCTGTCTCCTTCATTTGTTGCTGATGTGACAGCTGCTGTCATAGGACTAAGTGTGTGTGTGTGTGTGTCACACTGTAAATATTCTGCCCCTCCCTCGTTTGGTCTGGTGTGTTAACGGTTATCAAGCAGGACTGAAACTCCTCGTAGCAGCTTGCAGATGAGCCAACAAACTTGGCTCTTTAACAGCTTCAGTTTTCACGGTCGATACATGTGCCGCTAAAACGAGCATTGTTGTGAGGCATGCACAGCAGCCCATGTCCTATTTAATATTTATTACGTATATTCCAGGAGATTCTGGTGGCAGTAGATAGGTTGCATTCAAGAATCCAGGACCGTGTTTCATCTCACCTGAATCTCAGACATCTGCAGAACTCTTATGTTGGACAGCTTGCGACAGTCTTCTTGTGGGTTTGTGTCGTCCATGACTTTTTTGAATGTTGTAACGACTCCTCTGTTCTGTAGAGATGTAACCGTTGTTTTGTGGCTTCTTCTCTTCTGTCTGGGATCACGTCTGTCTGTCTTTTTGTCTGTAAATACTCTGCCTGTCAACTAAACCACTACAGAGCCCGCTAAGTTGCCAATATGGAGCAATACATGAACATGCATGTGGTCCTATGTTGCTGCATCAGTATTTACGTTTTAGCGTGTGTACGTGTGACCTCAATGCGTCCAGCTGACGTTCTAGCGAGAAAGAATAGCGACCAACGTTTCACTGTGAGGGGAGAAGTTTGGAGAAAGGTAACAACACAGGAGCGAGTCAGAAAATGAGACCTTATCACTGATTCTGGAGGAATGAAAGCCATGATCCGAACAAGAGCCATCGATGTGAAGACTGAGGCGGACTAAAACATTTGAACATTTGCTTTTAACTCACTGTGCTTCTAATAAAGTCAAATGGGCTGCAGCTCTTCGTAAGCGTTCCCAGACATTTTAGTTCCAGATAAAGAGACAGACAGGAAGACATACAGACACATCAGAATCCAAAATATGTGTGTGTTGAAATATTGTATAAAATCATTATATTTATCAATAAACTTTTCAAGAATTAAAACAATTGCATGCCAATGTGTTTTTTTTAAATATATATTTTACTCCATGTGTTGTTTTTTTCTTGTGTGTGATAAAAAAAAAAAGCCAAATATCTTTTTTGTGGTGCATTGAAAAAGAGCAAGAAACGACAGCAACAACATTTTATAATATTATTTACACATGTACAGAGAATGTAGAAAAAGGAGCTCGGGCCTCGATTGGAAATCCCACAAATAAAGAAAGATAATGTGCATATATGAAAAGACTTTACCAACATCCACGAACATGCATCACTCCTTTTATTACCAACATACACCCTGATTTCACTACAGCCTGATGCAGTTTTTTTTAAAACTCCTCGAAACAATATTTTCTTCATAATGCAACGCTTTTTGCACCAAAAAGAATGTGCGGGAATATCAGGGCGCATTTTAATGTTAGAAAACAAACAAACAAACAAACTGTTTTTCCCCCTCTTTAAAGCACATCTTAAATTTTGCAGAGCAGCTTTCTCTGATCTTATAAAATTTGAATGCATGTAGCTTCTGGATGTTCAAGAACTGGGACAAAAAAAAATGGTTTGAGCATAAATAAAATGTTGTTTTAAAATAAAACAGCCACTAAACAACCAAATGCTGCAGGTTTTACTGTGTGACATTTTCCTTTCCTTCTTATAATAAACAGAATCAGTGCAAACATTAGAGAACAATTCTTAATGTTAAGTCTGTTTCAGAGCTTTTTTTCTCTTCTTCTTAAAAAAGTTCAGAGTTCAAATAGTCCAAATAGTCCGTTCAAGTTTCTGATTTTTTTTTTTTTAACTTACCAGTATCATGTCCAGGTTTTAAAACCAGTCCACTCAGAGGGGTGCTCCTTCAGTTTTTCTGCACACAGGTTTATAAGGATGGGCTCCACTGTCCCCACATCCTTTACCTGTCCTCCCAGTTCACCTGGTGTCACTCCCTGTCCTCGGCCCAGGGCTGCAGGTTCTGCAGGGCGTACAGGGAGGAGTTGTGGGCGCACAGCGGGTCGGACGCGGCTGATTCGCTCAGGGACTTGTGGAGGGCGGACTGCTGCAGCTGCAGGATGAGCCGGTTGGCCTGCTGCCGCTCCGCCTCCCTCTCCTCCGCTGTCTGCCTCCTGGAAGACGCAGGAGAAACAAAATGTCTCACAAATCAACAGAAATCTGTGCAACGTCACACGGAAGCAGCCAGGGTTTGATTTATATGTTGGTTTTAAATTGTGCAAATTAAAAAAAAGAGTGCTTGGAAAGATTAGATCTGTCCTTAAATAACTGAAGAATAAAAACAAAATAAAAACATTACAATGCATTTTTATTTATTCAAACTGGGTTGACATGTATGTATATATATATATATATATATATATATATATATATATATATATATATATATATATATAATTTTATTTAGCCTATAAAAAGGTTAGGCACTATCCTTCCATTTTGGCGTGTTTTTTTTAAAACAGGTCCACACCTCCATTTGGTCCTGCGGTTCTGGAACCAGGTTTTGACCTGCGCGTCCGTCATCTTCAGGCTCTTGGCCAGAGCCGCGCGCTCGGCGCTGGCCAGGTACTTCTGCCGGTGGAAGCGTTTCTCCAGCTCGCAGATCTGGACTCTGGAAAACGAGGTTCGGGGCTTTTTTCGCTTTGGGGGCGTCCGGTTCTGGTACGGGTGTCCTATCCGCCGCGTGACGGCAAACGGCACCAGAGCTGCTGGAGAGAGAGGAGGTGAGATTTAAGAAAAGCTCCTGAACAGGTCGTTTACTGCGAGGCCGCATGTCTCTGGTGTGTGTCCTGTTGGACATCTGTCCCTCTGATGCACGAGAAGAAAGTCACATTATTTGTCCTGAGTGTGAAAAGGTGAGAAAAATAATAATTAAAGGTCTTATTTAGTATTTTCTTTACTTTTGACATTTAATTGGTTCTCTTTGTACATTTAATTCGTTAGCATTTTTGTACAAGTAATTATAGACTACAGTCGACCCAATAGACACAATGTGAAAAACAAATAAAAAATGCATACAAGTATAAAAACTTTTTTTTAAACGCGTCATTTGACTTTAAGAAAAGGGGTCTAGTCTATTAAAACCAATTACCTGCCAAATTTCCTCTAAACGTTTCATTGATATTACAAGAATTTCCCATTTTTGCCAACAATTTATATACAAAATATATTTGTTTATTACATAATGCAACAAGTATTATTTATTAGAGATTTGACGTATCGATATTGAATATATATTTTGTTTCTTTCACACATAGGAACAATATTTGTTGGTGTCTGATGGGAAAAATAGAAATATTTATTATGTTTATGTATTGTTAAAGGTGTAAATCATTTCGAAAATTTGATTAAAATCCACAAACGAGTTTAATCCAAACAAAACAGACATTTGATCTCATTATTTAGAAAATGTGTTTTGTTTTCGAAATATTCTGATGATTGATAAGAAAAACTTTCAGTAGACTGAAGCCTGATGTTTATGATGTGAAGCTGGTATTTTGGTTTGTAATATAAATAATTAATGAGGGGAACCCGTGTTGCAGCTGGCCTACCTGATATTCTGTCCTTGGCGAACCTGTTTCCTATCCAGGGGAAGCACAGCCCTCCAAAACCAGGAACCGCGCTCTGGACTGGGGTTGGGGGTCCGGGGGCTGCCACGGGTCTGTGAGCCGGGACCCGGATCACACCCCGGCTGCTCAGACTCCTGTTCTCTCCGTACGAACCTGAAGCCTCCACCGAAGGCATTATACCGGAGAGGGAGATGGACAGCGCGGTGTAGGAGGGCGCGCTGGCCCCCGTCGGGTTCCCCAAGCTGTAAAACGCTTCCCCGCCGCCTAAATCTGATCCACTTTGTCTCCCTGGCGCGCGCTCGCTCTCCGCCTCCGTCCCGGCTCCCAGAATCTGGTCGATTCCGAAGCTGATAGGTTCATGGTGGACCGGTTTTGGTGGGGGACTCGGCGCGCTGGGGGCTTGCTCCATCCCTCGCTCGGCAGCTAAAAGGATGAGAAAAGTGCGCGCGATGCGTTCAGAGAAGCTTGACAATAGGGTCAAACTGCACCAAAAGTCATCATTAGAAGTGTCTCCATCTCTGTCCAGTATGCCCCAACCCAGCGCGTCCTGGTTGTCTCTAACAGGCCTCTGTCATGTGGACTGAGTCCTCTCTGCCCGGCTGTGCCCAAACTTTGATGGGCGTTTGGAGAGATGTGACGCTGAGTCCTCCTCTGCGCGCGTCAAAACGCTCCATCTAACAGCTCCGTCCTCCTCCATCCCTCTCCACCTTTCATTGGCTGGCACTGGAATGACTGATTGAATGTCAGCGAGAGGGGAGGCCCGCTATTTGGCACAATAATCAAGATATCCCATAACCACGGGTGTCAGGTTGTTTCATATGTATATATGGTAAGATATGGCATCATCCGGGCGCCGGAATGAGTCACGGTTTCATTTAACGTTTCCAATAATATTAATAGAGAAGAAGGTTTTAACTCCGTGAACATTTATGTGAAGAGAGACCAATGTTCTTCACATCATTTCACCCAAATGACACTTTGTCATGTTTGTCAGCGTTCGACGGATTCATTGGTTTTGTTGGGATATTACATAAGAAGGAAACCGGAAAAACTAGTTTACAATCTTTACACTCTGAATGGATGGTTCTTTTTATTCCCACATTTCAGAGCGACATCCTCATTTGTCCCTCTTGTCTGTGCCTGTCTCTGACACCTCTTCTGTTTGTCTCTTTTGACACGTGTGGATTGTGCGTGAGTGATAAGCCGCACAAGGAAACAGGCTGAGAGCTTTTAGAATAACGCCATTGATATTTGCGGGTGGATAGCTCACAGGAGACACCAAAAGCAGCCAGCTCGCCATATACTCCACTTCTCTCATTTATGAAAACGTTTTAAGATCAATTTTTTATATGGGATTTTATGTTTTTAACTAGACTGTCGTGTTTAGTTACTTTTCATATTAGTAGAACATTTTCAAGTTAACCAATCTTATATTGATATTCATAAAAAAAACAAAAAAAACAAAAAAACAAGTAAAAACTTCTAATTTAGGATGATGTTAAAAAGGTTTTGTCAAACAGTGAAAGCTTTAAACAGCAACAAAATCCAGTCCCGTGCGTAATTACGCACAAACATGGCAAACCATGCGTCTTCAGAGATAAAAAGGACAGCAGCCGTGTTGAGGTACTGGCAGAAGCAGAAGCACCTATTGAGCTTGGCAAAGCCCTAACGTGGCCTTATTTGTTCCTGATAGCCAGTGCCACATTAAATGACCTGACAAGGGAAAGCCACGGGCTACTTCAGATAAAGTGTCCCGGGCTCTGGAAGCTGCCTAACCGCTCAGATTCAATGTTCCAGGCGCCCAAAGTGACCGGCTAATCTCATTTTTCCCCACTAACTTGTCTCATGGACAGACAAATGCACGTCGGCTTTGGATGAGGCAGGTGGCGTTTTAACCCGATCACATTACGGCACTTTAACTAACCAACACTTTTTTAATCAAATACTGAGAGCGGAGGTCAAGCGTATTGCTGTTTATTCCGCCCTCTAAATAATTATTACAATAATGTGATTTTAAATTAGATTATTTTTCATATATTATGATAAGAAATAATTAGCTTTTTTTTGTACTGACTTAATTCTTTCAATTGCGTCTAATCATAATTTAACCCCCCCCCCCCCCAAAATATCAGTCTAAAATCGTAATAATTGGTTTTATTGAATTAAATAGATCAAATCCTCTAAAGTGAAATAGTGATAGTGCGCATTCATATATATATATATATACATATATATATATACATATATATATATATATATATAT